ATTCATTAGACTCTCTAGATTCTTTAGACTCTTTATACCTTTTAGACATTGTAAACTCTTTAGAATCTTTAGATTTGCGGAATCTTCGGAATCTTTCGAAACTTTCGAATTTTTGAGCTTTTTAGGATCATTAAAATCTTTAGGATATTTAGGATCTTTAGGATATTTAGGATCTTTCCGGTCTTTAGAATTTTTAGGATCTTTGGGATCTTTGGAATCTTTGGAATCTCTGGAATCTTTGGAACCTATGGGATCTTTGGATGCTTTGGAAACTTTGAAAGATTTGGAATCTTTGAAATCTTTAGAATTTTTAAAATCTTTAGAATTTTTAAAATCTTTAGAATCTTTAAAATCTTTAGAATCTCTAGGATCTTTATAAGTTTTAGGATCTTAAAATCATTAGAATTTTTAGAATTTGTAGAATCTTTAGAATCCTTAAAATCTCTAGAATCCTCAGAATATTCAGAATCTTCAAAATCTTCACACTCTTTAGAATCTTTAAACAATTTCGAATTTTTAGACTTCTGAGAATTTTTGTAATTACTAGAAATTTTATGAAGTTTAGAATTTTTGGAATTTCTAAAATCATTAATACCTATAAAATCTTTAAAGTTTTTAGGATTTTGTTTGACTTTTTAGACTCTCTAGACTTCGCAGGTTCTTTAGTCTCTTTAGACTCTTTAGACTCTCTAGATTCTTTAGGCTCTTTATACCTTTTAGACATTGTAAACTCTTTAGAATCTTTAGATTTTCGGAATCTTCGGAATCTTTCGAAACTTTCGAATTTTTGAGCTTTTTAGGATCATTAAAATCTTTAGGATATTTAGGATATTTAGGATCTGTAGGATATTTATGATCTTTCCGATCTTTAGGATTTTTAGGATCTTTGGGATCCTTGGGATCTTTGGAATCTTTGGAAACTTTGGGATCTTTGGAAGTTTTGGAAGCTTTGGAAGATTTGGAATCTTTGAAATCTTTGGAATCTTTGGAATCTTTGGAATCATTAGAATCTTTAAAATTTTTAGAATTTCTAGAATTTTTAGAAGCTTTAGGATTATTAGAATTTTTAGAATTTGTAGAATCTTTAGAATTCCTAAAATTTTCACTCTTTATAATCTTTAGCCAATTTCGAATTTTTAGACTTCTGAGAATTGTTGTAATTACTAGAAATTTTATGAAGTTTAGGATATTTGGAATTTCTAAAATCATTAATACCTATAAAATTTTTAAAGTTTTTAAGATTTTGTTTGACTTTTTAGACTCTTTAGACACTTTAGACATTTTAGACTCTTTAGACTCTTTGGACACTTTAGACTCTTTAGATTCTTTAGACTCTCCAGATTCTTTAGACTCTTTATACCTTTTAGACGTTGTAGACTCTTTAGAATTTTTAGATCTTTGGAATCTTCGGAATCTTTCGAAACTCCGGAATTTTAAGATTTTCAGGATCATCAAAATCTTTAGGATATTTTGGATATTTAGGAACTTTAGGATATTTAAGATCTTTCCGGTCTTTAGGATATCTTTGGTATCTTTGGAACCCTTGGAATCCTTGGAATCTTTGGAATCTTTGGGATCTTTGGAAGCTTTGGAAACTTTGGAAGATTTGGAAGATTTGGAAGATTTGGAAGATTTGGAATCTTTGGAATCTTTGGGAATATTTGAAATTTTTGGAATCTTTGGAATCTTTGGAATCATTAGCATCTTTAAAATTTTTAGAATCTCTAGGATCTTTAGAAGCTTTAGGATCTTAAAATCATTAGAATTTTTAGAAATTATACAACCTTTAGATTTAGTAAAATCTCTAGAATCCTCAGAATATTCAGAATCTTCAAAATCTTCACACTCTTTGGATCTTTAAACAACTTCGAATTTTTAGACTTCTAAGAATTATTGTAATAGACTCTTTAGATCTTTTAGACATTGTAGACCCTTTAGACTCTTTAGGATCTTTGGATCTTCGGAATCTGTCGAAATTTCGAAATTTTTAAGATTTTTAGGATCATTAAAATCTTTAGGATATTTAGGATATTTAGGATCTTTCGGATATTTACGGTCTTTCCGGTCTTTATGATCATTGGAATCTTTGGAATCTTTGGAACCTTTGGAATCTATGGGATCTTTGGAAGCTTTGGAAACTTTGGAAGATTTGGAATCTTGAGGATCTTTGGAATCTTTAAAATCTTTAAGAATCTCTAGGATCTTTGGAAGCTTTAGGATCTTAAAATCATTAGAATTTTTAGAATTTGTAGAATCTTTAGAATGCCTAAAATCTCTAGAATCCTCAGAATATTTAGAATCTTCAAAATCTTCACACTCTGTAGAATCTTTAGACAATTTCGAATTTTTAGAGTTTTGAGAATTTTTGTAATTACTAGAAATTTTATGAAGTTTGGAATTTTTGGAATTTCTAAAACCATTAATACCTATAAAATCTTTAAAGTTTTTAAGATTTTGTTTGACTTTTTAGACTCTTTGGACTCTTTAGACTCTTTACACTCTTTAGATTCTTTAGACTCTCTAGTCTTTAGACTATTTAGACCTTTTAGACATTGTAGACTCCTTAGAATCTTTAGATCTTCGGAATCTTCGGAATCTTTTGAAACTTAGAAATTTTTAAGATTTTTAGCATCATTAAAATCTTTAGGATATTTAGGATCTTTAGGATATTTAGGATATTTTCGGTCTTTAGGATTTTTGGGATCTTTGAGATCTTTGGAATCTTTGGAATCTTTGGAATCTTTGGAATCTTTGGAATCTTTGGAATTTTTGGAATCTTTAAAATCTTTAGAATCTTTGGAATCATTAGAATGTTTAAAATTTTTAGAATCTCTAGGATCTTTACAAGCATTAGGATCTTAAAATCATTAGAATTTTTACAGTTTGTAGAATCTTTAGGATTTCTAAAATCTCTAGAATCCTCAGAATATTCAGAATCTTCAAAATCTTCACAGTCTTTAGAATCTTTAGACAATTTCGAATTTTTAGACTTCTGAGAGTTTTTGTAATTAGTAGAAAGTTTATGAAGTTTAGAATTTTTGGAATTTCTAAAATCATTAATATCGATAAAATCTTTAAAGTTTTTAGGATTTTGCTTGACTTTTTAGACTCTTTGGACCCTGTAGACTCTTTGCACTCTTTGGAGTCTTTGGACTCTTTGGACTCTTTAGATTCTTTAGACTCGTTAGATTTTTTGGACTCTCTGGACTTTATCGACTCTATGGACTCTTTGAATTCTTTAGATTCTTTGAGTTCTTGAGAATCTTTGGACTCTTTAGACACTTCGGAATCTTCAGAGTTTTCAGAATCCTTCGAGTATTCGGAATCTTCCGATTTTTCGAAATCTTCAGAATCTTCGCATCTTCGGCATATTCGAAAACTTTGGAATTTTTGTAATCTTCAGAATCTTTGGGATCTTCGGGATCTTCAGGATCTTCGGGATCTTCGGGATCTTAGGAACCTTCGGGATCTTAGGGGTTATCGAGGTCTCGGTGTGTTCGGAGCTTCGGAATCTTCGGAATCTTCAGAATCTTCAGAATCTTCGGAATCTTCAGAATCTTGAGAATCTTTAGAATCTCTATGATCTTTAGACACTTTAGGACCTTAAGATCTTTAGAATTTGTAGAATCTTTAGAATCCTTAAAATACTAGAATCGTTAGAATCCTCAGAATATTCAGAATCTCCAGGATTTTCAGAATCTTCAAAATCTTCAGACACTATAGAATTTTTACACTCTTTAGGCCTTTCGGAATTTTTAGACCTCTGGGAATTTTTGTAATTACTAGAAATTTTATGAAGTTTAGAATTTTTGGAATTTCTAAAATTATTAATGCTTATAAGATCTTTAAAGATTTTAGGATTTTGTTTGACTTTTTAGACTCTTTGGACTCTTTAGACTCTTTGCACTCTTTGGACTCTACTTATATATATTTAATATTGGAAAGAATCTTCTGGGTTCCTTCTATTTTGTTTCTAAAGAAATTTAATGATATCTCGGGGTTCGCTGGTGTTTTATTTTTCAAAAATTTAAAAGAATCTCAGGGGCTCCTAGTGTGTTTTTTTAATATGTGAACGAATCTTTGGGTCCTCTTTACCTGATCTGAGCTAACCTGACCTGACCTGACCCAATAAAATGGTAAAGATTCTTAAGGACCTCCGTTTTTTTTCTTTAAATAAATATGTGACAAAATATCTAAACAATCAAATATATTTAAAATTTACAATTATGATCTGTTTTCTCCTGTCTTATAGTATGTTGAAACTTTCTGAATCTACCTAATCTGAAACGCGATATGCTTAATTAAAATTCCTGATACTTAATATTTTATGTATAATATAAAAAAATCTATTAAGGTATAAAAAAAATATCTCAAAATGTATAGTCAATTGTAAATTTCCAAAACCACGTACTAAAAATTTTAGCACTGAATTTATCGAAATAATGTTTTCGCCAAGGAATAACTTTCAGTCTTGTTAATAAACAGCTAGTGTTGTCTAAATTGCCCTATTATTCTTCTGTTAGAAATAAAAAAAAATCTTTCAAGGAAATTTCCCATTCTGGCGTCGTCTCAATTTCTTATTCGGGACGCTCGTGTACAAGTTTCCTCGAAGCTCGTTGAAGTGTGTTTGTAAGAGGAATTGAAAGGCAGTTTAATTTTCGTTTACCTTCTAGTTGCTAATTTTCCTCCTTACACTTTCGTAAAACATTTTCACTTCGCCGATCTTTAGGATTTGAGTGAAACTTTCCTTCAACTATTTTTTGTAGTTCCATTGTTCTCGATTTCCTTTGTTCTGGAGCCAGTCTTGAAGTTTAGCGGTAAATTTGAGCTTTAACACACAATTTGTATAAACAGACGTAAATTCGTAGCTACCCAGTTCCTCCAGGAATTAATCATACGAAGCAACAACGTGGAACACGCTGTATACTTTACGAACTTGTTTTCTTTCAAATAAAAGCATGCATAGCGTAAACATCCCTGTGATCGATATATTGTTTCAGGATCCAGTTGCGACGTAACGGTAAGCAGCGACATGATCAAAAACGGCACAATCCAGAGTCCTTCGTATCCTGCGCCGTATCCTTCGCGAACGACGTGCAGATACGACTTCCAAGGACGCGGCAAAGAAAGGGTCCAAGTTGTCTTCCAGGATTTCAATTTGTACCGTTCCACGGACGATTCTACCGAGTGAGTATCTAAAAAATTCAAAGCGATCCTTCATCCCGGGCTACCCCTTAAACTCCAGAATCGTTATTAATGCCTCTAGAAAAAGGCTAATTGAAATAAAACGAGAAACAATTTACCGAGCGGAAAGTTCCAAATGGAGTTAACCTGAACGCAGAAATCTGCGGAATCTTATTAGCGACAAAATAGTCTTAGGGAACTTTAGATTCTGATGGCGCTAAATGCAATTAGTCGCGAAAAGGCCAATACATTTTCGAATCGATGACGTGCTAATTGCAGTATCACCTCTGAGAAGGTGGATGATTTGATTACGAGAGAGGTAGGTGAGGTAATGCGTGCAGCAGCTGTACCGTGTGAAATATTTCCCTTATCGATCAAGGAGAAAAATGAGATCGGGGTAGCTCCAGACAAACTATCCGAACAAAGTGGAATTGGTGATGATGATGGGAGCGATATGAAAAGTTTTATTAGCCGTTTTTCTAAAATTTCGCGATTTGTTTGGTGATGTGGCGTGTTTTGGGGTTTCAATTCCATTTAGTGTGATTTCAAGAATTTAACTACGTTCTTTTACATTTCGGATGACAAAACCGAACACCGCTACTTCACCTCACAACGATACAGTAGTACAAGCGATACGTCAGATGCGTGATATATTACCTAGAAACCCTTTTTTTTAACTTCGGCTGCTTGAAATTCTTCCACCGGAAACACAGCGAGACGTCAGCTTGCATTTACATTTATTCTTCATCCCTTAATGTTTAAGTCAACACGCGGTGCTTAAATTTTACAAACGCAGCCCCTGGACGTTGTTTCGATGATAGCACTTAAGAATCAAAGGCTTTAGGGAATGAAGGTTGTATTAACGTTATTGTGAAAATTGAGTTTCTTTAAATGAGAGGAGGTGGTGTTTGTTTTTGCATGGGCGCCCTATTACACTGAGCTATAAAACATTAATACGGGGTTAATGTAAGCAAAGCTGAATTTAATTCAGTACTAATTTATAATTTATGAAGTGGTTTATGTGTAATGCTAATATAACTATTAGGGAAACGCTTTAGTGGCTTTTGTTGTTTTTGGAATGTTTTTGTGTTTTCTTACTAAAGCAAATTTAATTTAATATGGATACTTTTATTATTTTGTTATTGTGGCAAACATATTTCAAAAATAAAACTCCAGGAATCTCCAAGACTGGTCTACGTTTTTTCAAAAAAAAAAGACACTCGAATTTCCAAAGATGTTCACTTTATCTTAAAAAGTTATAAAACAAAGGCACAAAGGACCCTCAAAGTTGATCAAAATTTTTCAAAAACGAAAGATAAAGAGCCCAAAGCCTTTTTTCATTTTTTTTCAAAAATAAAACTCCGGGAACCTTCGAGATTCTATGTTGTTTAAAAAAACACTCATCATCAGGGTTTCGATTCTTTCACTCTTTAAAAAAAAACACCAGGAGCATCCAAGATCTTTTCAAAATCTTTCAAACACTGAGGACCCCAAGATTCGTCTTCCTGCATCTTCAAACTAAAGACACAGGAGATCCTCAAAGTTGTTCCGAATTTTTCAAAAACAAAAGAGAAGAAGCCGAAAGACTTTTTTTCAAATCTTCTTAAAAATAAAACTCTAGAAACCTCCAAGATTCTTTCATTTTCATTCAAAAAAAGACACTAGAAGCCTTCAAGATTTTGTCAATTTGTTTCAAAAATGAAAAACCAGGAATTCCCAAAACTGTTCAAAAAAGATATTGTCGTCAAAAAATAGACACTACAAGCCCCAAGATTCTCTCTGTCTCTTAAAAAAAAACTCCAGAAGCCCCAAAAATTTTCTAAAATTTTTCAAAAATAAAAACCGAAGACTCCCAAGATTCTTTTACCTACGTCTTGAAAATAAAGACACAAGAGATCCTCAAAGTTGTTTCGAATTTTTCAAAAATAAAAGAGAAGCCAACAGACTTTTTTTTCAAATCGTCTTAAAAATAAAACTCCAGGAACCTCCAAGATTCTGTCACTTTCTTTCAAAAAAAAGAAACACTAAAAGCTTTCAAGATCTTGTCAATTTTTTTCAAAAATAAAATACCAAGAATCCGAAAGACTGTTCAAAAAAACACTTTCGTCAAAAAATCGACACTACAAGCCCCAAGATTCTTCCAGTCTCTTAAAAAAAAAACTCCAAGAGCTCCAAAGATCTTCTAAATTTTTTCAAAGATAAACACTAGGGACCCCCAAGATTCTCTGTCTTTAAAATAAAAACACAAGAGATCCTTAAAGTTGTTTCGAATTTTTCAAAAACAAAAGAGAAGAAATCCAAAAACTTTTTTCAAATCTTCTCAAAAATAAAATTCCAGGAACCTCTAAGATTCTGTCACTTTCGTTCAAAAAAAAAGAAACATTAGAAGCCTTCAAGATCTTGTCAATTTTTTTCTAAAATGAAGCACCAGGAATCCCCAAAACTGTTCAAAAAAACACTTTCGTCAAAAAATCGACACTACAAGCCCCAAGATTCTTTCAGTCTCTTAAAAAAAAAATTCCAAGAGCTCCCAAGATATTCTAAAATTTTTCAAAGATAAACACTAGGGACCCTCAAGATTCTCTGGCTTTAAAATAAAAACACAACAGATCCTCAAAGTTGTTTCGAATTTTTCAAAACAAAAGAGAAGAAACCCAATGACTTTTTTCAATTTTTTTTCAAAAATAAAACTCCAGGAACCTCTAAGATTCTGTCACTTTCAATAAAAAAAAAGAAACACTAGAACCCTTCAAGATCTTGTCATTTTTTTTTTTAAAGACACAAGAGATCCTCAAATTTGTCTCAAATTTTTCAAAAACGAAAGAGAAGGAGCTCAAAGGCTTTTCTTCAAATTTTTTAAAAATAAAACTCCAGGAACTTTCAAGATTCTTTACTGTTGTTTAAGTAAAGACACTCGGTCCCCTCAAGATTCTTTCAGTTTAATTAAAGAAAAAGTCACTAGAAGCCCTCAAAATGTTTCCAAATTTAAAAAAAAATAAAACAATAGGAATCCCCAAGGCTCTTCTATGTTGTTTAAAAAAGACACTTGGGGTTCCCAAGATTCTTTCACCTTTCGTCAAAAAATAAACACTACAATCCCCGAATTTTTTTCAAACTCTTTAAAAAGTTACCAGGAGCGCCCAAGAACTATTCCAAATCTTTCAAACCTATAACACCAGGGACCTCCAAGATTCTTCAACGTTCTTTAAAATAAAGAGACAAAGGGGCTTCAAGATTGTTTCATTTTTTTTTTTAACAAAAGATAAGGACCCCAAAGATATTTTTCAATTTTTTTCAAAAATTAAACATCAAGATTCTTCTGAGTTGTTTAAAAAAACCATGAAGCTCCTCGAGATTTTTTCACTTTCATTAAAAAAAAAACCCATTAGAAACCTTCAAGATCTTGTCAATGAAGATCAAAAATAAAACGTCAAAAATCCACAAGATTCTTCTACGTTGTTCAAAAAAGACACTTTCGTCAAAAAAATAGACACTGCAAGCCCCAAAATTCTTTCAATCTCTTAAGAAAAACGCTAGTAGCTCCCAAGATCTTTTAAAATCTTTGAAATATAGAACACAGGGGACTCCCAAGATTCTTCTACCTACATCTTTAAAGTAAAGACACAAGAGATCCTCATAATTGTTTCAAATTTTTCAAAAACAAAAGTTTAAGCTTCTACGTTGTTTAAAAAGGACACTCGGGCCCCTCAAGATCTTGTCAAAGATAAAACACCAGGAATCTTCAAGATTCTTTTACGTTGTTTAGAAAACGATACTTGGGGTCTCCAAGATTCTTCCAACTTTCGTTAAAAAATAGACACTACAATCCCCAAGATTCTTTCAATCTCTTTAAAAAAAAACCTAGAGCCTCCAAGATCTTTTCAAAGTCTTTCATACATAAAAACAGAGGACTCTCAAATTTCTTCTACGTTATTTACAATAAAGTTCCAAAGGTACCTCAAGTTTGTTTCAAATTTTTCAAAAACAAAAAAGGAGTCCAAAGACTTTTTTCATTTTTTTTCAAAAATAAAACTCCAGGAACCTCCAGGAATCTGCTATGTTGTTTAAGAAAAGACACACGGCCCCTCAAAATTCCTTCAGTTTCATTAAAAAAAGACTCTAGACGCTCTCAAGCTCGTTTCAATTTTTTTTTTTAAATGGAACATCAAAAATCCCCAAGACTTTTTTACGTTGTTTAAAAAAAACTTTCGGATTTTCCAAGATTACTTCACCCTTCGTCAAAAAATAGACACTAGAGGAATCAAAATTCTTTCAATTTGTTAAAAAAATACCAAGTGCTCCTAAAATCTTTTCAAAATCTTTCAAACATAAAACACCGGGGACATCCAAGATTCTGCTACGTTCTTTATAGTAAAGATACAACGGTTCCTCAAGATTGTTTAAAATTTTTTTAAAAATACGAGATCTTTCAAAAATTGTCAAAGATAAAACACCAGAAATCCTTAAGATTCTTTTATGATATTTAAAAAAAGACACTTGGGGTTTCCAAGATTCTTTCACCTTTCGTCAAAAAGTACACACTCTTTCAATCTCTTTAAAAAAACACCTAGAGCCCCCAAGATCTTTTCAAAATTTTTCAAACATGAAATACCGAGGACTCTCAAGATTCTTCTATGTTCTTTACAATAAAGACACAAGAGTATCTCAAGATTGTTTCAAATTTTTCAAAAACCAAAAATGGGCCGAAAGACTTTTTTTTAATTTTTTGAGAAGTAAAACTCCAGGAATCTCCAAGATTCTTCACTGTTGTTTAAAACAAGTTACTAGAACCCCTCAAGATCTTTTCAAATTTTTTCAAAAATAAAACATCGAACATTCCCAATAAAGAAGAAACTCGAGATTAGCAAAATTCTTTCAACTTTCAACAGAAAATGAACACCACAGGGTCCAAGATTCTTTAAATATTTCTAAGAAAAAAAAATATCAACAGCCCTCAGGATCTTTTCAAAATCTTTCATACAGAAAACGCCGGGGGCTCCCAA